AGAAAAAAGTTTAATGTAATTGATTGTTCTTAAGGTGGGTTTGGTTTGGCACTTTTGTGTAGTATAATTGATAAATATAATAATAATTTGTAAATTAAAATAAAATATATAATTTAATTGTTAATATCCCAATCAAATTAAACTAATAAAAAATATTAAAATGTTAATAAATCAATACACAAAATGAGTGTTAATATAAATGTGATAAAAATATTAAAGTAATAAATAAAATCAATAACATACAAATATTAAATTATAAAATTTGATTAGAAAATTATTATTATTATTCAAACTATAATCAATGAATTTTTAATAGTTAACATTTATTTATAATTCTATAAATACAAATTTGTGTTTTATTCTACTATTATTCAATAGTTGTTATTGGTTTTACTAATAGTTTTTGAAAATTGATATTTATTTTTTGTAATTATTGTATCATTATTTGTTATAAATATTATGATTAATTTTAATACACTTTTTTAATGGGAGTTAAATTATTAATAATTATATTATATTTATATTATAAACATTTGTTTTTAAATTATAATAGGTTATACTATATTATTTATTATTTTTTAATTTAAGTTTCAAAAATAATTTAGTATATTTATAATATATTTATAATATATGAATTTCAATATGTTAGGTTTAATTATTTTTGAATGGTCATTATTGAAAACTGTTGTTATATTTAACGATTGTAATATAGTTTAAATATTCATGTTTTAAATTAGGTTAGATTTATTGTTTTGTTATAGAAATTGTGATGTATACTTCATGTTGTTATTCAAATGAATTTTGAAAAAAATATTTTTATAAAGTCAATTATATGAGTTTTACTTTAAATTGTTATTTGAAAATGTGATCCTTATGCAAAATTTTTGGAAAGTTCAAAATTTGAGAAATTTCCTAAAAAACACAATGCCGAATTTATAACGGACGTTTTTTGATTCTGTTTGCCGGACTATGTTCTAACAAATAAAAATCAATTCATTTATTTCACAATAGCTAATTTAATGTTTCTAATTATTTACTATCATCCACATATTGTGAAATATTTTAAAATAACAATAAAAAAATACCAAAAATAATTTAAAAAGTATTAATAATATACTATAATAATATATTAAAATAATATAGATTAAATAAACTTCAACTCAAAACATCACACTCAAATTAATAAACAATTATTCTATTTTTTATAAAAACCAAAACCTCATAACTCAGAATATAAAGTTCCAACAACTTTTAAAGACAAAAGAAGATGTTGTTTTACTTCAAGCTAATCAACAAACAAAAACCACAAGAACAAAAGACCACTCTTGTCAAGTTCTCAAAAATCAATTTCGACATTGAAGTGATTGGGTGCTTTGCAAGAGTGACAGCAACACACTTTGTGACCAACACAAACCCAACACCAATTGACCTTTCAATTAATTTTGCGTATGACAATCAGAGTGCTGTAGTTGGGTATTCGTACAAAGTGAACGACAAAGAGGTGATCTCGTCGCTCAAAGAGATTGAAGCTGCCAAGAAAGAAATAGCAGACGCAAAAAGTTCTGGATATTCGACTTCAGACATCCAGAAAACAGACGATCGCACTCTCGTTCTTTCACTTGGCAATTTGGACACAACCAAAACAGCTGAGTGTAAAATCGTATACGTCACACGCCTTCTTGTTATCAACGATGATTTAGTACTTGCATCGACTGAAACTGTGAAAGACGAAACTGATGCGGAAGTTACGATAGAGCACATTGGCGACACCTCATCACCCAAAAGCACATTTACAAAGAAGTTGAGTGAGATCACAACGATACCACTCGGTAAAATTGGGAATGGGATTTACATCACAGACGATGAAGATCTCGAGGAGAAGACTGGCTTGTCTGTATTTGTGAGTGATGAGAAGGTTGGACCAGTCGATGCGATCTTTGTGTGTGACCGCTCTGGAAGTATGTATGGCAAAGGCATCACGTCTCTCAAGAGTGCTTTACAACTCTTTTTGCGACAACTTCCAACAGACAGCACATTTGACATCGTTTCGTTTGGGTCACAATTTGACTCGCTGTTTTCTGGTCTCAAGAAATACGACGAGACTTCTTTTGACTTTGCGTCGAAAGCTGTCGAGAAATTTGAAAGCAACTATGGCGGTACCTTCC